TATTGTAATGAATAATGGTGGCGCATAATTGGCCCTGCGTCATCCAGGGTAGGGGAGGGAATGGCCGGCAGGGATGTAGCTCAGTTGGTAGAGCATGGCGTTTGCAATGCCAGGGTTGTGGGTTCAATTCCCATGGGGGCCAGTATAAAATAATGTATGCACTCACTAACTGTAAGTCGCTCTGGATAAGAGCGTCTGCTAAATGACTAAAATGTAAAATGTATACCCTATGCCTCCACACACCTATTCTCTCCCGCCCTCCTACACATATACATACACCCCCACATCCATAGACCAATTATTGACTTACATGCTATATTTCCTCTTTTATATTGTATTTTCAGTGTCCATGTATCTCATTGGCATCGGCTAATTTTATCGTTACTTCCTAGAGAAGAACAGTTACTTGGGGACAATATAGTCTAGATTGTATTTGGGGAGGGGGAAATAATATTGTCTCAACTAACGGTAAGCTGGTCTTGGGCATCCCTGTATGTAGCCTAGTGTGCTTATCCCTGTATGTAGCCTAGTGTGCTAATCCCTGTATGTAGCCTAGTGTGCTTATCCCTGTATGTAGCCTAGTGTGCTAATCCCTGTATGTAGCCTAGTGTGCTAATCCCTGTATGTAGCCTAGTGTGCTAATCCCTGTATGTAGCCTAGTGTGCTTATCCCTGTATGTAGCCTAGTGTGCTAATCCCTGTATGTAGCCTAGTGTGCTAATCCCTGTATGTAGCCTAGTGTGCTAATCCCTGTATGTAGCCTTGTGTGCTAATCCCTGTATGTAGCCTAGTGTGCTAATCACTTTTTTTCCACTTCTTCATCTCCTCAGGGCATTGGGCTCTCTTTCAACTGGAAAGATTTCCTGCAGCCTGTTCAGGGTTTAATTGGTGCTTGTGAACTCCATCCTCTGTGTTCCCTTCCATTCTTCCAGGAATCAAATATTATTTCCCTTGATTCCCTTTTCGTCCTTTGTCTGATCGGAATGAATTGCTTGCATTCCTGGATGAATTTAATGGACTGGCCGTGGATTTTGATCTGCTTTCCCCCTGTGCCTTTAGAATGTTGACTTTGGTCTGACAGTTCCACAGCTTAAAGATTACCATGCGAGGGTATTTAGCGTTCTTCTGTTTCACGCCAATCCGATGGCATCGCTCCAGATCCTCTGGTGATACATCCGCGCCAAGCTCCTCTGATATCGGTTTGATCACGTAGCTGGAACGGTCTCCTTCTTCTTCCTCCTCTTCCGGTAAGGACAATATTCTCATGTTGTTTTCGTCTCATTCTGTTTTCTTGCTGGTCCAGTTCATCTTCTAAAGTTTGCACCTTTGTTGCCAATTTTGTTGTCCTGTTCATCCACTCGCCCTGTATATGCACATCTGACATGATGGACTCTACTTTCCTTTCGAGCAAATCTACCTTTTTAACAACAGATAGTAACAGTTTATTTGTTTTGGTGAGCACTGAGAGCATTTTAGCTATGTTTTCCTGGATATCCTTTTAGCTGCTCGTTGCTCTCAGTTGTTCTTGGTCTTTTCTTTTAAGGGAAGCCATGGCTTGTTGTGTTTGAGTCGCAGCGTCGCTTTACCCACAGATTGGTTCGCTGTTGTAAATAACTGACCGCTCACTCTCCTCCCGGTTGCTTGAGGATATATTGATCTACTGATTTTAGAGGCTTAATTTAAACTATGTTGCCTGTAGAAACATATAATCACAGTTTCGATGATACAAAACAGAGCTACTCCCCCCCCATGCATCCTATTTGATTGTATGAGAGAAAATATTTTTGGGTGTGTGTTTTGATGCTGCCTTTGTCACGGATTCAGCCGAGGCTGCTCCTCCTCCTTGCTCGGGCAGGCTTCGGCGTTCGTCGTCACCAGAGTACTAGCTGCCACCGATTGATGTTTCTGTGTTCTACTTGTTTTGTCTTCATTGTACACACCTGGTTCCCATTATGTCTATGATTTGTTTCCTATTTAACCCTCTGGCTCCCACTGTGTTGTGTGCGTGTTTGTTCTATGCTGGTGAGCGGGATTGTCCTCCCTGCGTGGAGTTTATGTTCATTTGTGATTTTACGAGTAAAGTACGTTGTCTACTAGCTCTGTGTCCTGCGCCTGACTCCGTCCTACCGCTACACACTGACGCCTGACAGAAACACGCACCTCGTAGATTCAGGCGCAGCTGGGAACTTTGTTAAATCGTCAGTTTTCCCGTAGTTTAGGGATTCCTATTGTTCTTGTTGATGTGCCCTTCCCTGTACACGCCTTAGATAGTCGCCCTTTAGGCTCAGGCCTGATTAGGGAGGTCACAGCTCCACTCTGGATGAGGACACAGGAGGGTCATGAGGAGAGAATTAGTCTCTTTCTGATTGATTCTCCTGCGTTTCCAGTGGTGTTGGGCCTTCCCTGGTTAAACTCTCATGACCCCACGATTTCATGGCAACAGAGGGCTCTCAAGGGATGGTCACGTCAGTGCTCGGGGAGGTGTGTAGGTGTTTCCATAGGTGCAACTGCGGTGGAAAGTCCAAACTAGGTCTCCACTATGCACATTCCCCCTGAATATGCCGATTTGGCTCTCGCCTTCTGTAAAAATAGGGCGACTCAATTACCACCCCATCGACAGGGGGATTGTGCGATAAATCTCCAGGTAGGTGCTGCACTTCCCCGGAGACACGTGTATCCTCTGTCACAGGAAGAGACGGCTGCTATGGAAACATATGTCTCCGAATCTCTGGGACAGGGATACATCCACTTCACCCGTCTCCTCAAGTTTCTTTTTTGTGAAGAAGAAGGATGGAGGGTTACGCCCGTGCATTGACTACCGTGGTATCAATCAGATCACTATTAAGTACAGTTATCCACTACCTCTCATTGCATCACTAAATTGGATCTCAGGACGCGTACAACCTGGTGCGTATCCGGGAGGGAGATGAGTGGAAGACGGCATTTAGTACCACATCTGGGCACTATGAGTACCTCGTCATGCCGTACGGGTTGATGAATGCTCCATCAGTCTTCCAATCCTTTGTTGATGAGATTTTCAGGGACCTGCACGGACAGGGTGTAGTGGTGTATATAGATGATATTCTAATATACTCCGCTACACGAGCCGAGCATGTGTCCCTGGTGCGCAAGGTGCTTGGTCGACTGTTGGAACATGACCTGTACGTCAAGGTGGAGAAATGTCTGTTCTTTCAAAAGTCCATCTCCTTCCTAGGGCACCACCTGTCCTCATCAGGGGTGGAGATGGAGATCGACCGCATTTTGGTCGTGCGTAATTGGCCGACTCCAACCACGGTCAAGGAGGTGCAGTGATTCTTAGGGTTTGCCAACTACTAACGGAGGTTTATCTGGGCTTTGGTCAGGTAGCAGCTCCCATTACCTCCTTGCTGAAGGGGGGACCGGTGCGACTGCGGTGGTCAGCTGAGGCGGACAGGGCTTTTAGGCATCTGAAGGACCTGTTTACCTCGGCTCCAGTGCTGGCTCATCCAGATCCCTCCTTGGCACTGGGCCATCAGGCGACAAAAAGGCGAGCGCCGACCGCCACCGCAGTGAGGCTCCAGTGTATGCACCGGGGGACCGGGTCTGGCTCTCGACCCGAAACCTGCCCCTTCGCCTTCCCTGCCGGAAGCTGGGTCGGCGGTTTGTGGGGCCATTTAAAGTCCTGAGGAGATTGAAGGAGGTTTGTTATAGGTTACAGCTTTCTCCTGAGTATCGTATTAACCCCTCGTTCCATGTGTCTCTCCTCAGGCCGGTGGTAGCTGGTCCACTCCAGGAGTCTGAGATACGGGAGGTTCCTCCGCCCCCACTGGACATCGAGGAGGCACCGGCGTACTCGGTCCGTTCCATCCTGGATCGAGGCGTCGGGTGGGGGGCCTGCAGTATCTCGTGGAGTGGGATGGATACGGTCCGGAGGAACGGTGCTGGGTCCCTAGGAGGGACATCCTCGATCCCTCCATGTTGAGGGATTTCCCCCGTCGTCATCCGACTCGCCCTGCGCCACGTCCTCCTGGCCGTCCCCGAGGCCGGTGTCGGCGCACGACTGGAGCCGCGTGTCAAGGGGGGGGTACTGTCACGGATTCAGCCGAGGCTGCTCCTCCTCCTTGCTCGGGCAGGCTTAGGCGTTCGTCGTCACCTGAGTACTAGCTGCCACCAATCTATGTTTCTGTGTTCTACTTGTTTTGTCTTCATTGTTCACACCTGGTTCCCATTATGTCTATGATTTGTTTCCTATTTAACCCTCTGGCTCCCACTGTGTTGTGTGCGTGTTTGTTCTATGTTTGGTGAGCGGGATTGTCCTCCCTGCGTGGAGTTTATGTTCATTTGTGATTTTACGAGTAAAGTACGTTGTCTACTAGCTCTGTGTCCTGCGCCTGACTCCATACTGAAGCCTGACATCCTTTTACATGAGAGAGTGTTTTGATGCTCGCTCTCCCTCCCTCCCTCCCTCCCTCCCTCCCCATGGCCATCTCCTGAGGCTCCATATGCAACAGCTTTACATGACAGGTCAAAACAGAGCCTAAAAGAATAACACAATAACAGACCATCGGCTGCGTCTCAAATGTCCCTCTATTCCCTGTGTAGTGCACTACTTTTGACCAGGACACATGCCAGGGCTCTAAAGTAGTGCACTATATAATGTAGGGAAAAGGGGTGCCATTTGGGAGGGATCAGGGAAACTAGGCAGGCAAACCAATCCAAGGCCAATATTTACTGGTCCACCCCTATTGGTTCCCGAATAACGAATCAAATCTGTATTATTTCCTTTCATAGATTTCAGAGATAAAGAAACATTTTGAATAAAATGAAATGTCAAGAGTGGAGGACAGATCCATGCATAGAGTTGGGTGTTTTCACTTCACTGTGCACAGTATGCGTGTATATTTGTGCAGAATTTCAAGCATACACGTTGTTATGTATGATTTCTGTAGAGTGTGTGTGTGTGGGGGGGGGGGGGGGGGGGGGGTTGGGGGATAGTTGCTATATCTGGCCCTCTCCTCCTACTCATGGAATGACACATTGGGTGCTGGGAGGGAGAGAGAGCTGGGAGGGAGAGAGAGAGAGAGATGGGTGGGAGAGAGAGAGAGCTGGGTGGGAGAGAGAGAGAGCTGGGAGGGAGAGAGAGCTGGGAAGGAGAACTGAGAGAGGGGAGCTGGGAGAGGGGAGCTGGGAGAGGGGAGCTGGGAGAGTGGAGCTGGGGGAGTGGAGCTGGAAGAGGGAGGCTGGGAGAGTGGAGCTGGGAGAGGGGAGCTGGGAGAGGGGAGCTGGGAGGGAGAGAGAGCTGTATGTGTATGTGTGTGTGTGTGTGTGTGTGTGTGTGTGTTGCCCATGACAACTCAGATCTCCAAATAACATCAGACTCTCTAAAGTGGGCTTGACATCTGTAGCCCACTGAAACAGAGCCATGTGAGATCCTCTGTAGCCCACTGAAACAGAGCCATGTGAGATCCTCTGCAGCCCATTGAAACACAGCCATGTGAGATCATCTGTAGCCCACTGAAACACAGCCATGTGAGATCATCTGTAGCCCACTGAAACAGAGCCATGTGAGATCATCTGTAGCTCATTGAAACACAGCCATGTGAGATCCTCTGCAGCCCACTGAAACACAGCCATGTGAGATCATCTGTAGCTCATTGAAACACAGCCATGTGAGATCATCTGCAGCCCACTGAAACACAGCCATGTGAGATTATCTGTAGCCCACTGAAACACAGCCATGTGACATCCTCTGTAGCTCACTGAAACACAGCCATGTGAGATCATCTTCAAATTAGCCACCCTTTGCCTTGATGACAGCTTTGCACACTCTTGGCATTCTCTCAACCAGCTTCACCTGGAATGCTTTTCCAACAGTCTTGAAGGACTTCCCACATATGCTTAGCACTTGTTGGTTGCTTTTCCTTCACTCTGCCATCCGTCTCATTCCAAACCATCTCAATTGGGTTGAGGTCGGGGGATTGTGGAGGCCAGGTCATCTGATGCAGCACTCTATCACTCTCCTTCTTGGTAAAATAGCCCTTACACAGCCTGGAGGTGTGTTGGGTCATTGTCCTGTTGAAAAACAAATGATAGTCCCACTAAGCCCAATCCAGATGGGATGGCGTATCACTGCAGAATGCTGTGGTAGCCATGCTGGTTAAGTGTGCCTTGAATTCTAAATTAATCACAGACAGTGTCACCAGCAAAGCACCCCCACACCTCCACACCATAACACCTCCTCCTCCATGCTTTACGGTGGGAACTACACATGCGGAGATCATCCGTTCACCCACACCGCGTCTCACAAAGACACGGTGGTTGGAACCAAAAATCTCCAATTTGAAGAAACGTTCAATGTTCTTGAAATGTTCCATATTGACTGACCTTCATGTCTTAAAGTAATGATGGACTGTCGTTTCTCTTTGCTTATTTGAGCTGTTCTTGCCATAATATGGACTTGGTCTTTTACCAAATAGGGCTATCTTCTGTATACCCCCCCTACCTTGTCACAACACAGCAGATTGGCTCAAACGCATTAAGAAGGAAAGAAACTCCACAAATTAACTTTTAAGAAGGCACACCTGTTAATTGAAATGCATTCCAGGTAACTACCTCATGAAGCTGGTTGAGAAAATGTCAAGAGTGTGCAAAGCTGTCATCAAGGCAAAGGGTGGCTACTTGAAGAATCTCATATTGGCTCAGTTTTCTGTAAGGGTTGGTGTGAGGTGTGACCGCGGTGCAGGATAGACAATAGGCAGTAGGCAGAGATGGTGAAACAAGGATCTTTACTGGTGGTCCCGAAGCCAAAATACAAAATAACGGACTTAACACCATAAAAGAAAGGCGGAGCAAATAAGACTTCAAAAAACCGTCTGACAGCCAAAATACGAAATACTACCTACGACTGAAACAAATAACGAAACAGGCAGAACACTTCTCAAGTACCTGTTCATAGGTCTCCGATCAGACACTGAGTAGTGCTGCTGGACTTAGAGAAACTAGCAGAGAAAACCGAGCAAGGGAACACAGGGAAGTGAGGGCATGAATACACAGGTGAACAGGTAGACCATGTATGCACTCACTAACTGTAAAGTCGCTCTGGATAAGAGCGTCTGCTAAAATGACTAAAATGTCAAATGTAAAATGTAGACACAGGTGACACCAATAGGATACCGATTAGTCCAGACTGTGGAGTGAGGAGTTGCCTAGCGGTTATTAGCGGATGACACCTAGTGGGTCGCTCCGGAACTGCGACCCCCTCCTGTAACAGGTGGCTATTTGAAGAATCTCAAATATAAAATATATTTAGATTTGTTTAACACTTTTTTTGATTACTACATGATTCCATATGTGTTTATTTCATAGTTTTGATGTCTTCACTATTATTCTACAATGTAAAGAACTGTAAAAAAAATCAAATAAAGAAAAACCCTTGAATGAGTAGGTGTGTCCAAACCTTTGATCGGTAGTGTATACATATTATATATTGGCACGTTGAACAGCTGAGAATGTAAAAGGGGACCAGAAAAGACTAGAGTATGGAGATAGAAACACAATGTCTATGTCCCAAAAGACACCTTATTCCCTTATATTATTACTATTTAACTATATTACAGTGCAGGCCCTTGTCAAAAGTAGTGAACTATATAGGGTATTGAGTGTCAATTGGGATGCAGCCTATGTCACCTCTTCCAAAGGCACAGTATAATGTATTTTCTCATATGTCACGTACGGAAGTGACAGGCAGCCTACTGAGTTAATAATCAAAAAAGGGTGCTGACTTTATAGGGTTCCAGGAATGGAGATGGAAGCGTTTCCCCCTGATGCAGGAATACTGTTGCTGGCCCTCTCCAGCTCGTGAACTGAATTTCAACAAGAACCTTATGACTCTACCACTGCGTCTGGGCCCTCGAGTTTACTGGGACCATTTATTATACTGGAGCGACTCCAGTAAAAAATGTATTTTGCTACAGCCTTGTCCAAGTTGATTTACTGACAACCTTGGAGCAAATAGGCTGGCAGCTCATCAAAACAGGCTACTAAACAGATACTGAAGTGAAATGTGAACAAAAAATGTAATCATTTAGGCTATTATCACACATTATTTAATCTATTTAATCAAATTGTGGGAACACACAATCAATTTAACTTGGAACTAAAAAGTTATGCTTATTAAAATGTAGACTAGCCTACACACTATTCGTTTCCACAATTGCTTCAATGAACGAAATTCGTAGGGACCCATTTAGGGCTATAACAGATGAGTTTATGCGCGTTATGACATTGGAAAAATAGAGGTAGCCTATAAATGTAACCATTTGGCACACGTTATCCTACCTTGTGCAGTTTCCACATAGCCCCCAGAGCCTTGACTTCATGTGTCCCGTGTTTCCCTTCTTCTAAACACTGGTAACACACCGGCATCTTACACTGAACACAGTACATGCTCAGGTTCTCCAGTTCGTGCTCCGTACAAGTGGAGATCTTCCGGGGACTTGTCCGACGGCTTATATGGCCCTGTGCAGGGGGTACGAGGCGATGCTTGGCTAGCGGACCTCGGGGAGGGTGGCACCTCAAGCGACAAGGGTCGCAGTAGAACACGTCGCATTGCTCGCACATCACCGTGGCCTCGTTGGGACTCTTCTCGCAGAGCTGACACTTGAGGGCGGCCGCTTTGCTCTGCTGGTACCGGTCCACGACCCCTTCCAGCACCCGGTTTTTGGCAAACCCGCGGAGCCCCCTCTCGTCCAAGATGAGGCTGCGATGGCACTGCGGGCATGTGATGCAGGAGTTGCGGGGGATAGGAGGTAGGGAGCCGGGGTGTCCTAGCAAGTGGTGCTGGGGAGGGGGTTGGGGGACGGCAGGGGGGAAAACACGCACCCCGTTTGGGGATTTCTGGCAAGGGGTGGTCGGGGCACTAACGAAGCCACCATACGAACCGTATCCACTGTCCGCCTCGCTGTACAAGCTCATCTTATCAATGTCCAGGTAGTCATAGTCGGAGACCCCCGAGCCAGAAGCACGGCTACTCTGCGGAGATTCAGCGTCCGGGGTCTGCACTAGGATATTCCGAGCGCAAGCCAGGCAAATGTTGTGGGAGCACGGTAGAATGATTGGCTCCCGGAAAAACGATCCGCATACAGGGCATTTTAATTCTTCCTCCATTTCATCCATTTTAAATTCTCTTTGGAGAGAAATAGTATCTCTCAATTCCTGAAAATTAGCTATATTTGATAACTCAAAATGCTATTGAGCACAGAGAGCGGTCTTCTCTTTCAGCATCCACCAAAGCAAATGCATCCTTGGAATGAGGCAGGCAGCGATAGCGTGCAAACTAGCCAAGACAACGCACATTCTGACCAATAGACAAACGGTATTGCAAATTCCGAATGAATCCAGAGCAGTTATTGGACAAGGCAGCTGTCAGTGTAATGGTTCTTGTCCAATCAAACGTCAGCTAGGACCACATAATTTCCATATGACGATGGTAGCGCCTGGCACGAACGATCCTCTTACTGATATTGATTGGAAACACAACAATCAATATTAAAACAGTATTGGCTATTAGACTATGAGTATCAACCAATAATGCACATTCTATTTTACTCGTGGGACATGTTCAGCAACAAGTTATTTGCCATGAATTCAATTTTATTCTAATAGTATTATATTCTATTCAGTTCTCTCTCTCTCTTTCTTTCTTTCTTTCTTTCTTTCTATCTCTCAACTACTCTGCATTTTTCATTGAACCAAGGAGGATTTATGTAAAAAAAAAAAAAAAAAAAAAAACAGGAGGAAACAAGGTCCTTTTCTGTTGATCTCATAATTAACATCACAATGGAGACCAACACCTTGTATACCCACAGTAGAAGGAAATGCTGTAGAACGCTCCAGGCTTTAGCAGAGCCCGTGGCACCAGACCTGCTCTATCTCTCTGCTCAAATAGCACAGCCATTTCTAAGGCTTCCATGGCAACCCAGGCTGGATCTATAAGAGCAGGAGGGGGTCTTGAGAAGAGGGGATTACACTCCTTGAAGGGGCAATCTGGGATTGGTAACATTCATAATGGTACATAGCCATTGATTTCAGAAGAATATAACGGGTAAATGAGCTACTGAGCTTTTAGTTCAACTGTCCTACCCCATCCATAACTCGTGGTTATGTTTCTCCAGCCCCATCTCTTAGCTGTTTACCAAAACAAGTGGCAGGGTGAGCGCTTTGTTGTTTTACGAATCCCAGATTGCCTCCCTACTACTATTGTATAGGATGTCTGTTGAAGAGGCCCTGGACAACAGGGAAGGCATTTCATAGGTACCCTACTACTGATTGCATGTTCTGAATAGATGCTCTAAAAAGGTACAACTAGTTAAAAGCTTATTGCCCACATGCCTTCTCCCATCATAGAACCAGGTAAACAGTATGGTTGTGTCCCAAAATGGCACCCTATTCCCTATAGGGCTCTGGTCAAAAGTAGTGCACTATATAGGGAATAGGGTGCCATTCTCTGGTCTAAAGTAGTGCACTATATAGGGAATAGGGTGCCATTTGGGACACATCTTATAATAAATAGCAGTTTTTTTATTATGAGCAGTGAATATGTTAATGAGTTAGAGATTTTTCCAAGAAAAATATTATGATTGATTGTCAATGATTTCTCAGTATAGAAAAATAAGCTGGTTACCATTGGAGACCACATTGAGAGAATAGGCTACTGCACTTCAAACATCCATGAACTAAAACTGACAGGTGTTATGACCATCATGTACTAAGACTGACAGGTGTTATGACCATCATGTACTAAGACTGACAGGTGTTATGACCATCATGAACTAAGACTGACAGGTGTTATGACCATCATGTACTAAGACTGACAGGTGTTATGACCATCATGAACTAAGACTGACAGGTGTTATGACCATCATGAACTAAGACTGACAGGTGTTATAACCATCATGTACTAAGACTGACAGGTGTTATAACCATCATGTCCTAAGACTGACAGGTGTTATAACCATCATGTCCTAAGACTGACAGGTGTTATAACCATCATGTCCTAAGACTGACAGGTGTTATAACCATCATGTCCTAAGACTGACAGGTGTTATAACCATCATGTACTAAGACTGACAGGTGTTATAACCATCATGTACTAAGACTGACAGGTGTTATAACCATCATGTACTAAGACTGACAAGTGTTATGACAGTCACACAGTAACGGCAGAAATCACGTAATTAGCATGTCATAAACAAGAAAATAATAGCGGAATAAATAACAATGTTGATTAAAAAGCAACGGAGCATACGGTTGGCACAAGAGATCAAAACAAAATAGACTATTTTTTTGGATGAATGTGTTGTCACATGGCGGTGCCATTACTAGGATAGTGAAGCGTTTAGATGCATGTAATCTCTCTGCCCAGTATGGGGGCTCTCCATGACTGCGTCACAAATGGCACCCTTTTCCTATGCAGTGCACTACTTTTGAGACAAAGCCCCATGTCCACCTGTGTGGATTGGTGTAGGAAAAAGTAGCCAATCCCGTTACATTTCTACTATTGGTCTTCTCTTTGTGTTTTACAGCCAGCCTAGACTCAGGGGTGCGTTCCAAATGGCACCCTATTCCCTATATAGTGCACTACTTTTGACCGGGGCACTTCCTTTGTTTTAATCACTTGCGCTGCTCGCACTTTGAAGTCCACAATCGGGAGGGGGGGGGGGGTTATGAGGGTTATGCTAGATGGGGATGGACTGAGAGATCAGCCGTCTGTTTGCGGAAATTGATGCTTTGTTTGGAAACTTCTTGCAAGTCGGGTGAAGACGAGAGCACAGAGAGTGAGAATGAGTGGGTTACAGTGTCAAAGAAGAAATGAAACAAGAGAAGTTGTGGTGGAAACTAGGAAACCCCTAGACTCGCTTTTAGTCGGAATGAGGGTTTTGGACCAATGTAACCGGGAAGATCTGTTTGAAGTCTCAATAAATGTCATGGGATGCGTTGGGTGAAGTGGCGTCAGTGAGTCACAAGAAGTGGGCTTATTTAGATTTTGTGAGTGTCTGTGGAGCAGAAGAGGCGTACATTGTGCCTCAAGAAGAGATATCTCTGGGGTAGTGCAAAACATTTCTGCAGATGTGAAACCTGAGGAAGTAGGTGGAGTGGTTGGTGCACGTCGACTGACCCGTATGGTAGATGGAGTGGTTGGTGCACGTCGACTGACCCGTATGGTAGATGGAGCGGTTGGTGCACGTCGACTGACCCGTATGGTAGGCGGAGCGGTTGGTGCACGTCGACTGACCCGTATGGTAGACGGAGCGGTTGGTGCACGTCGACTGACCCGTATGGTAGACGGAGCGGTTGGTGCACGTCGACTGACCCGAATGGTAGATGGAGGGAAGAAATTCAATTCATCCATACTTTTGTTCTTTGATGAAGAGTCTCTCCCTTCTCATGTAAAGTTTGGGCTATATGAGATGCCCTGTAAGAGCCCTTTTGTGCAGAAACCCCTTCAGTGCCATGAATGCAAAATATTTGGACGTGGTGAGTGGGAGGAGTTAGGGGCGTTGAAGACACAATGTAATGGAGACTGCACCAGCGGAGTGTTTCTCGGCAATCAAGGGATCCTGATGTGTTACAATGTGAAAAAGGTGGACGTTGTAGCATTTTTACTGCAATGGTCATAAACTGCACATCACAAACAAAGAAGAAAATCAGAGAACATTTGAATCATTTGAGTACAGCAGAATGCTTTTTGGGACTCAGTGAGTTTACAGCCGAGGTGTTGCAAGAAATCCTGTCAAAGGATGTTTCCGCCCTCACTGGCCCCTGAGCCTGTGTAGGGATGTGACTTGAATTGGAATGTGACTAAAGGAGTGGATGTTTATTTTTTATTTTTATGTGTCTATTTTTTTATTTTGTATGATGCGTTTTTTCCTCCCATCCCTACAATGGATATATTTTGTAATAGTTTACTACCAGTAGGTGGCAGCATGCACCTCTAACGCTTGTTTGCGGACCGCCATAATACCATAGAAGAAGAAGAGTCAAGTCAGAGCAATAGGGTCTTCTACCTTCTCATACCACAGACGCTGTGAGAAATACGAGATGAGACAGAATGTCCAAAGGTCCCAGAGAGGGTGGTGCGTTACCACAACCAACAACATGGGTGATAAACTTACATTTAGAATTAGAAGCTAGGTACCTAGTGCATACTAGCTAGTGTGTGCAAACTAGATGCACAAGCAACAGTGGTTAACATAATGGAGCTAGTGTGCTGACTGGTATGTGCATAGCACATTGACGCCCTGGAACAAAAAACTACTGACTCACGTGATACGATGAATCGTTGAGGACATGTATTTCCATTGTTAGAGCGTTCACTCGACTATCTTGTCAATATTATAGATAATAGATCAAATTACGTGTCCATTTTAAACCACTGTAAATCCACTCCACAGTGGCGTATCAACTTGAGACTTGTCAAGAACCACACGGAATTTGGTATTGATATCTCAGCATACAAGGAAACTATTAACAACTCATTATTTGCATATGTAAACGCGAATGCTCAAAAATCATCTTCTCCTCATGAACCATACTTCAGATTCACTCCAGATTTGCTATTTAGACTGCACATAAAAGGAAGATCGTTCCTACACGATAGAGCGCTTGCTTTGTTATCCAGCTGATCTTGTGTCCTTTTTGTCACCCTGTGAACCCCGTTCATTGCTGCTAGCAGCTATATTTCATTTTATCATCACATACCCCTTGTACCTTTATGCCAAAGTTCAATATTTGCATATAAATTACAAAAACTTTAAACAACACTTTTGATGCTCAAATTCATCCTCGGAAGGTTACACCATATGATATTTTTTTACAATTTGATACGCCAAAACTGTAAAAATGTATTATGCTCTGTGATTAAATTTATAGGATGCCAAACTGGGGAGAACATGTACAAATGTACTAGTAAGCAGATATTTTTGTATTTATTGTTTTAAAAAAATAAAAATATCCTTGGACACAAAAATAACACGTCACGTCAATTGCCCAGACATTATGTTTGACGAGTTCTCTGATGACTACATGATGAGAGGAGACCTGAAGGCTGATGAAAACTAGAGAGGACATCAGATCACTTCATCTTCATCTTCGCTGCCAAAGGTGCTTCACGAAAG